AAACGCAAAGATGCAGCAACAGCGAGAGGTTCACTACTGCGGGCCAGAACTCCAACAAACATCTCATGCGCGACAAAGAGTGGTTCACTACTGCGTGCCAGAACAACAACAAACATCAGCGGTGGACACTGATATGGCACGCAGTAGTGAACCACAAGTATGTCAATACGGGAAAAAGCAGTGAACATTATAGACAGAAAAATGTGGACGAAGACGTTGTAATACAGGCATGAATAAACATACATAATAGTGTGTGTGTGTGTGTGTGTGTGTGAGAGAGAGAGAGAGAGAGAGAGAGAGAGAGAGAGAGAGAGAGAGAGAGATCACGCGTCCCTGACCACCTGCGCAGCCACAATTTGACATCTTGTGTACAAAGTTTTTAGGCAGTCGTTGATGTGAAGTCCTTTCCTGCAATGCTGACATTCGTTATTCCCTCCATGTTGGCCTACATTTGTTACAACCTGTACCGTTATCTCTTTGATGTACGATATGAGATGGGATAGACAGTCCGCAACCAACCTCGCCATTTATCGCGAATTCGCTTTTGCAACGAACTTTTGAAATGTGTCCGTCGTCATAGGCAACGCAACAGATTCTGCATCAACACTAGGTGCTTTGCTAGCGACGACACATGGGAAGTTGTGACGAACGTGGTGACAATTCAGTGCGGCAACATCGGTGCACGCCAGCAGGGCATGCGGCGCAGGCGCGCAGTCCTCGACAGTGGTCCCAATTCCTCTGGAGGTTTGCATTGTTGTGTCGAGTTCTTCACCTGCCTTCGTCCTTCCACCTTCTGCACTTCCCATGACAACTCCGTTCACACAAGTCACCGTCATTTCTCCAACCAACAACCTACCTCGTGTGTGTTGCAGGGCATCCATGACGTTCGAGCAACAGTTCAACAGAGACGTCATATTGAGAGGAAGGTCATCCTTAGCAGTTGCGACACCCTCATCACAGAGACCGTACTCGTCTACGGTTTCCTTACAGTGGCGAATATAGTCTGTTGTGAAGGCCAAGAGGTCGACGACACTGCGTGACGAAGCAGTTAGCGAACCCGTATTATAGTCTTGGCTATCATACGATGCCCACCCCTGCTTCAGCACACACTTTTCAGGGTTGGCACAAGATGTGACATCAAGTCCTTGTGATTCCCTGTGAGTTCTCTTTGTGACGTGGGTGACGAACCGATTCAAGACCGCGGTGCGCCTGCGCCTTTCACCATCCAACCATGTCTGGATCTCGCCAAACGTGGTGGTCTTCGTTTCAGGTATTGCCTTCAGTCTGACAGTCATGTCCTCCCTCAGACGACTTATGTCTAAACACTTTGGATCGGATAGTAACAACCAGTACACGGTGAACATCCTGTGTTCCGCAGTTTCTGTCATTTCGTCGAGCAGTGACTTAATACGGCCTAGTTCGTCTGACATTTGTCTCACCAATTGTTTATGCTTATGTACCTCGTTTGTTGGCCTGTCTATATGTTCTCGCTGCTTCTCTACTATCTGACCCCTGTTCCGCCATCTAAGTCGTCTTCTCTTCTTTGGCCCCCAGTAGTAGAAAGTGATCCGTCGTTGCATCACTGTTCGCCTGACTTTCTCTTCTGTCCGGTCTTGGCCAATCTTGACATCTGGAAATATATGTACATACAGAGAAATACAGAGAGAGAGAGAGAGGGGCAGAGACAGGGCTTCAGTATTTCCATATTTTTTGTCAGCGGGCGCCTACCAAAGATTGGCTATATGTATGTGGCAACAAACATTGTTATTTATTACTGTACATCAGTGTTTCCCCCATACATGACTTGATATAACACTGGACAACACAACTTAACAAATACAAAGCAGACCATTATTTCCAAACTCATCCGTCGGAATGAGGGAGTGAGAGAAATAGAGACGTAGGAAAGAAAGAATGGAGAGAGAGAGAGAGAGAAAGACGCCAGGAACAAAGACAGAAAGAACTGTCCACCAAAACTAAAATGTATGGAGTTCGCTACTGCGGGCCAAAATCACACTTATGTACCTCGTTCAATGTGTTTGTGGCCCGCAGTAGTGAACTCTCTCTCTCTCTCCCTCTCTCTCTGTCTATCTATCTATCTATCTATCTATCTATCTATCTATCTATCTGTCTATCTCTATCTATCTATCTCTCTCTCCCTCTTTGATTCTCTGTCTCCCATTTGTAAGAAATAGCAAAACAAAACAAAAGGAAGTAAGAAAAAATACAAAGAAAGAAAAAAGAAGAAAAAAAAAAAGAAAAAAAAAAGGAAAGAGAGAAAGAAAGAAAGAAAGAACAAAAGGAAGGTCGAAATGAAGGAAGAGAGAAAGAATGAAAGAAAGAACAAAAGGAAGGTCGAAATGAAGGAAGAGAGAAAGAAAGCAAGAAAGAAAGAAAGAAAGAAAGAAAGAAAGAAAGAAAGAAAGAAAGAAAGAAGAA